GTATATGCTTTTCCAACAAACAAAGCCTATCGAGTTCTTTTCCATCACACACGAAACTAAAAGAAATAAAATACATAAGAAAACTTTCACTGAAAATCGTATTTACTCGTATAATAGTATTAAGTATAATTATATTATAAAATATCTGTTATAAAACCATCTGTTATAAAATTTTAAGCTGTATATAAGTTTTCACCATCAAGGTTTTAATTGATTATTCATTTGCAGTGCATCTCTTGCCAGCCTTTCTTGTCTTGCTTTTTCACTCTTCTTAAGGTTGAAGGCCTTTCTTCCGATATAATAATTGATTTTTGTTGGTGTTATTCGTTCACTCTTTGGATCCGCTGATTCTTTGTTCAAAATATAATACCTCCGCATTTGAGCTCCTAAAAACAAATTCAGCATTTATTTACAATAATAAAAATTATCCAAATACACACACACACACACACACACGCACGCACGCACGCATACACACACACACACACACACGCACACACAAGTATACGATATACTGAAGAACTAACCATAAATAGCAGCAAGAAGATCTTTTTCTAAAAATTTATTTGGCGGCGCAGTTCTCCCACTATCCAGGAACTTTTTCTTTTGCACATTGCAGCTACTAATAACATGAGTCAGCAATTTTTCTGTGCCAAACATATGCTGTGCAAGGGCATAAATGTATGCTTTGTCACCAGTTTCATTGTTGTTTGATGGATCCATATACATAATTTCAGCAATAACTTTTATCTTCTCCCAGCCTACCACAGGCACCCATATCGCTGGATTTTCATGTATCAGTATTTTATCCTAAAATAAATTAAGAAGTCATATTTTAATGCTAAATTTATGTAATAATTGAAAATATCATATACTTGATAGATAACATTTCAAATAAGAATTAAGAATACCTCTTTAATATTCTCGAGTGACATTGCTGATGCTGCTGGTTCTTGTGTTTCAGTAGTATCCATAAGTTCGAGTTTTACAGGTCCATTGTCAGCTACAAATGAATCTTCAATATGAAATCTTGAGGTATTTAATGATAATGACTCAGATGTGGCACGTTCTACGCTGACTGGTAAAAGGCATGCTGAAGGTTTTGATTCTGATAAAGTATTGGTTGTTGAAGTTCTTGATGATACAGGAGTGGATGCTGCACATTTTGATACCGATGTTGGAGATTTGCTACTTGATGGAGAATTAAGTTTTGCAATTTCACTAATTCTTTCTTCATTGCCTTTAAAATTTTCATCAAGTAATTTATTTTTATCAAATATTATTGAAGAGGATTTTTCAATAAATCTGCTTGAAGAAACTGATAATGAAGTTTTCGATGATGATAATGATGACGTATATGAACTTGATGCAATAGTACAAGGTGGAGACTGTGTAAGTTGTTCAACATGTGATTTGGCGCTGTTTGCTGAAGATGATGAAAAATACTCTTTCTGGTATAATATATTAAGAGTTCTTATCTCTTCCAGCTCCTTTTCTAACTTTTTTATTTTCGTTTCCAGTGATTTAATTTTTTTAGCTTTGTCCTGCATAGCCTCCACATGCAACTTCTTAGGCATAACATCATCATCTGAATCATCTGATGATTCTTCTTCCTCTTTATGGTAATCTTCATCATAATTTTCATCATAATCTTCATCATAATCTTCATCATTTTTAGTTGCAGTATATTTATCTCGCTTGCTCCATGAAAGTTTCTTCCTTTTGGTAACAAATTTTTCTGCGAGCACAGTATGTGCAGATTCTTTCTTAGTCTTTCCCTACAAGTTCAAAATAATTGTAAAATTTAAGTTACAGTTTCTTTAATTAATAATTTAAAATAAAATATATCAATACATAAAATATATCAGCAAAAAATAAAATTATATATTAAGAGACAACGGCAGTGTCTCGCGCTGTCTCAGTCTCAATTTCACACTTTATTTTTAATAACTAAAAATATAGTTTTATATAATTATTATAAGTTTTTTTATTATAATAAATAATTTATAAACTATTATAATATTTATAATGGTAAATTTATACTATTATTACTATTATAAATATTACTATTAGATATAAATAAGTTTTAAAACTATAATTATTTGTATACTTTAAAAAAATTTAATTGTCTATTTCTAGATAAATCAAATTGTTTTTGTTTTATTTATGGAAAGAATGCATAAGTTTAATGAACGATATTATACAAAATTAAAATAGAAGTAGTAGGCTCTGAAATTGGAAATCCTCAAATGAGAAAAAAGTGGGCTAATTATAATAGAGACAGGCACGGTAAACGTTGCGCAAATGTTTCTTTTTTTATTCAAATTGTTTATTTTCGTACGTTTCGGACCATCCTCAATTCCTCAACAACTATCCATACAAATTAATAAATTATGTGAAGAACAGATGTTCTAATTGGATTCGCCAAAAATATACATAAATATAGAATAACAAATACGTACGCAATAATCGTTCAAATTAAAAATGTACCTCTCTGTAGTCCCAGAAAATTCTCTCGGCGAGCAAGTATAATGAGCCACCCTCCGGTTCCAGCTGTAAGGATAATCAACACACAAATACCGTATATTTTTCTTACGGATTGGAACCGGAGGGAGGTTTATTATTCTTGTTTGCCGATAAAATTTTCTGAGACCATCAAAGAGATTAATTTTCAATTGGAATGATTATTGCGTATGTATTTGTTATTCTATATTTATTTGCATTTTTTGCGAATCTAATTAGAACATCTACGGTTTACATAAATTATTAAATTGTATGCATAATTGTGTGCTGAAGATTGTCCAAAACCAGAAACGTACGGAAATAAATAATTTGAATAAAAAAAGAAACATTTGTGCAATTAATTCTTAAGAATTATACAAAATGTTTGATAAAATTTAATTGTTTTTCTTTATATTAATTTATGCTTTGATATACGTCTTACTTATTTTCATATAATTGTCATATATTTTTGAACAATATAATTTTCTATTTATACTGGCACAATTTTTCAATCACATTATTTTTGTAGAAATATTTTTACAAATATTTTAGAAAGTACTATATATATATAATATATACCGGGCCTACACATCTGTAGTTATAACTGTCTAATGGACGTATAAAAACTTAGTAAAACAATTCTTCTTTGTTTAACTTTTAAATATATTGTAATAAAGCATCATTCGTTAATATAAACTTTTTTCATGCGTATTTCAGAAACGTACCGTACCTTCTTTCCGGTCTTAGTGACCATTTTGCTATCATTTTTTGAGGTTTTAGTGAAATCGTTTTTTGATGATTTCTGCAACAAAATAGAATGTAGAAATTAAATTTAGATTAGAATAAAGAGTAAAGTAAAAGTAACTTACAATTGTATGTATAATAGACATGTTAGAAAATTGCTCTTTATATATTTTAAGAGAGCACGAATATTCTTGTTGCAAAAAGAAGTTTAAAGAGAATACAAGAAGACATACCTTTCGCTTATTTGACGAGATATTTCTTTTACTTGACTGCTGCAATAAGCCATCAGTAGCTCGTGACTCTACCGCTAAGAGCGAAGGAGTCTTAAATCTCTTGCTCCTTCCTGATTCATCTAGTTGCTTTTCTAATTCTAATTCACTTTCTGTAAAACAGAGGAAATTTATTTACTAGTGAATTGGTGAAGAACATTAAGGCTGGATTCGGGGAGCGCGCTATTAGCGCTATTTGCTTATTCTATCCTTGTTTTACACCTGATGAGCGATAAAGACAGAATGATGCAATAGCGCTAATAGCGCGCTCTTCGAATGCAGCCTAAGCATTTATCAATCTCGTGTCATGAGAAGAAACAAAATATGTAATCAAGGACAAAAATAATTATATACAATCAATTAACCTTTCGATTACCAAGGGGAGCGGGCCGTTTGCCCTATAAATGATTTGTTTAGAATAATTCTACTAGATTGTTATTATATAATTATAGTTTTAAAAATATTCTGTATCAATATAAATAAAAATAATTAACATTGTATTATATTTTTGCATTAAAATATGTTTACTTACTATATTTTAATATAATTTTGAACGTCATAAACATGCCATTACACAGGAAATTTTTTGGGGTCAATCGCTTGCCCCTCTTGGTAACTTATGTGTACGCAGTGCACGAAATTAGCACGGTAATTGCAAGGTTAAAAATAATGTTACTCGATCGTTTTTCTGAAACTTTAGGAAATTAAATTTACTAAAGTTCCAAAATTTTACTATAAAATAAAAATCATTCAGGGGAATGTATGTAAGAATGTGTATTATCATACCAGCGACTCTGAGAACGTTGGCCTCGTAGTACCCTGGTTTTTTGTTTATAGTAGCTGAAGCAGTATAATGGGGAATTTCTGATACTTTTTTCGCCATCGAACTGGGAGAATCTTCTTCATTAGGGCTCCAGAACACCTTCAATATTGCCTCAGGTCCTTTGTTCTTAACGCCGTCCGGATTCTTCTCAAATCCGTACACAAATGATAATGGGCAAATCTCTTTTTCCCTATCCTTAAGATAGCGCACATACACCACACACTTTTCATTGTCCATTATAGATTAATTCTGAGTACGATTCACGAACGAAATTGGAAAAGAGTGTTTCAGAATTAAACGTGTAAAAGCTGCCTGTTGAGACTTGAGATCACGACATTCACGATAATCAACAATAGCGATTGCATAAATAACAAATGCAACGCAACGACGCGACGCGGTCCCGCCAAAATGGCAATGGGGGGGGATGAAGCCACGTGACCGTGACGGTCGGGACGGTCCGTGTGAGCGCCGAGTTGCTCCGAGTGTTCCGAGCGTACACGGACGTACGCTGGATGAGCTGCGTCGCCCGCGTTTCATTTTTGGTTAGTACTGGTTGCACTCATCTTCTTCTACTTTTTCCTTCCGTTTTTTTATAATGAATAGAACTGGATTTCGCGCCAAAACACTGGGTTTGATACGGCCAACGGCAAAATCGATTAATTTAACCGTATCATCGTTTTTCACTGTATCGCTTTTCACATGCTAATTTTCAAACATCATCAATAACTTAAAGATTTCAGGATATAAATATTGTGAATACAGAATAAATATTTCACAAATTAATTTTTATTCCCTTATTTTATTGCAGCTTCTAATATTTTTAAAATCCAGTCGATCGGTGAGTTAACCAAAAATAAATAAATAAATAAATAAGTAATATATATAATAGATACATATATGTATATATATATATAGATATATACCGTTTTTTCTTTTTTATACGTGCTTTCTTTTTTTCTTAATTTCTTAATTATAGAAATCTAAAAAGCAGAGTAAATATGTTTGCACCTCGAAAGCGTTATAAGCAATATTTAGAACCGGGAAGTATTGGCAAAATTCCACCATCCACATTGAGACGCTGGCGTAAACAAGGAAAATCAAATATATTTGACCTAAACAAAGGTAAAAAGTAAAGTAAATTTTTCAGAAAACTGTATAAAGAGAAATATGTAATTGACTTTCAAAGTATAGGTAAGCAGAAAATTAATTCATATTTTTTAAATTGTTTCTTTGGGTCCATTTAGTCATGCCTGCATCAGCTTCAGCTTTTTCTGAACAATCAAGCATTATAAATCATTCACCACCACAACATGAGCACGATGATATATTTGCTGCTGATTTTGAAATGGATTTGGATTTGGAGAATCAAGAACAGCTGAATCTTGATCCACAAGACAATAATGAAGAGATTGAAAAGTTTGTCGGATTTAGCAGAAAATAATTTGGGGAATTATTATGGATTTTTTTATGATTGCTATTGGAAACTCGAGTTTTTGATTGCAATAATGGGCTGTTGTACATTTCGGAATTAGTTTATTGTTGCTATGCAATAATATATGATTCAAATTGGAATCGTGACTTTTTCTTTACTATTGCTAGGTTGTGGGAAATCTTTCTAATTATTTCGGATACTTACCTACTATATCTAATTATCTATAAAATACATCTGACGAAAAATGGAATTATTGTAATTAAAAATTATTTTATAATAGCTCGATCGATTCCCTGTTTAAACGATAAATCGATTTTAAAACAAATGTATAGTACATAAAAAATTTAAATACATAGTAATCAGAAGACATAGTCGGAATGACAGTAGAAATCTTGCGTTTTCTATCGGAATCGTAACTAGTTCCAATAATAGCTCCTCAAGGCATGTATTATAAAACTTTTCGGAATGAATTTCGATCGGAATTATTTCATTTTTCCACTGAAAAAATATTTCTCGCACAAAAAATTAAATAAATAAGTAAACAATTTTGATGGAAATCCATTCCGAAAAAGTTCGCAATACATGCCGTCGTATCATTTTAATTCCTCCAACATAATTAACTCTTCCCGTTTCTTAAACTGTTGCAGTATTTTGTCTCCTGATATATCAGATGACAGCTGTTCTAGTGATGATGAAAGAAGTACTTTTCATTTTAATTATGTGCCCCTAAGCTCGGAAAATTTAAACAAATCACTGTGCCCTTCTCTATCAATTACAAAATTCGAAACAATGCTTATGATATTTCACATGACTTTGAGGCATGGTATGACTAGTGCACTGATTGAAGACATTTTAAAATTGGTCAACAAAATAGTAGGTGATGACAACGCTCTGGCCATCTAAATACTTCTTTCAAAAACTTTTTTCTCAAGGAACAACTATGGAAACTCAATTTTACTGCCCTACTTGTTGCATTTATCTGGGTCCTAAACACAACTTCAACGACTGTGAAGTAGCTTGTCCATCATGTGATTATCGGAGTCCCGCAAGTTCAATGAAAAGCGACACTTTTTTCATGTCATTTAGCATAAAAGATGGAATAAAAGATCTCCTTCAGAGGCCAGATGTCAACATAAATTTAGATAATCATATTAATGTAGACAATGTAATACGTGATATATATGATGGTACAATTTATCAGTCTTTAAAAAAAGAAAATATACGCAAAAATGCTTTGACGATTACTTTTAATACTGATGGAGCAAGTCTCTTTCAATCTACTGGAGGTTCTTTGTGGCCAATATTTTATACAGTAAATGAAATTGTTCCAAGTCAACGTTTTAACCCAGAAAATGTACTTTTAGCAGGGTTGTGGTTTGGAAATAAGTCTCCCATTATGGATGTATTTTTTAAACCATTTGTAACTGAATTAGTAGATCTAGCTAAGTGTGGAATTTTATGGGACTGCCCTGGTCGAGGAATTGTTGAAAGCACTGTATATGCTATTTGTTGTGTCACAGACTCAGTAGCAAAGCCTAAAGTTCAAAACATTGTACAGTTTAACGGAGCATTTGGCTGTGGATATTGTTATCATCCCAATGTTCCTACAGTTATAAATAATGAAACTGGTCGTACAGCTCTGAAGTATGTGCCCAATAAAATATATGCATATAGATCAGATAAAAAAATTCGAAAGGATATGAGGAGAGAAAATATTGACTTAGGAGTAAAAGGCAAATCTTGCATATATAATTTACCAGAATTTAATATGTGTTTTGGGTTTGCAATTGATTATTTACACCAATCTTTAGAAGGCGTAATGAACAAATTGCTATCTCTATGGTTTGATTCAAGTAATCATCAACATAATTTTTATATTGGGACATTTATTGGACAAGTAGATAAAAGACTGTGTTCAATAACTCCTCCAAGTTATGCATCAAGAAAGCCTAGGTCACTTACAGATAGAGCACGATTTAAAGGAAATGAATTTAGAAATTTTCTGCTATATTATGGGCTTCCATGTCTTCTTCACATATTACCAGAAGTTTATTACAACCATTTTAAAAAATTAGTCACTGCCGTATATATTTATCTCCAAGAAAAAATAACCTTTTATGAGGCAGATTTTGCTGACAATTTACTTCATGAATTTACTATTGAATATAGCAGACTGTACTCTGAAGCTAATGTTGTGTATAATATCCATTTATGTATGCATTTAGGAAAAATTGTCTCTATGCTTGGTCCACTTTGGGCTTATTCCACGTTTGTTTTCGAATCAGGCAATGGATATCTTAAAAGATTGATTAAAGGCACAACTGGTATTGTAAGTCAAATGGGGCGCAAATATGTTATGTCCAAGAATGCCTCCAAATTAGTACGTAGTAAACAGTATAATGTTTGCAACGATATTTTAGAGTTTTGCTCAGACATATTTATGTATAAGCAAATGAAAAATTACACTGTCTGTAATGAATATACTCTTCTTGGCAGAAAGTATACTTCAGAACTTACTGCAAATGAAAGGGATCTTTGCAATATTTTATTAATAAAATCCGTTTCAGTAGACTGCTACAATAGAGTTGTTAAATCTGGAGTCATTTATCAGGGAAAAAGGCACTCCAAACAGCAGCAATTTAATGACTCTTGTGTTCGACTAGATTGTGATGGTGCTTATGCATATATTGATTTAATATTTCTAGCTTATCAAGAGCAATCATTAGACGTGTTCTGCTTCATTCGCCCAATACAATCGGCTCAAAACCACCTCAAAACAGAAATCCTTATATGCCTCCACATATTAAGCAATGCAGTCTAGATCCATTTGGACCTCTCCAAATATGTAAGATGGGCAATATATCGTCTAAATGCATTTTAATCTGTTGTGATGGAAAGAAATATGTTACTGAACGACCTAATACTTACGAGAAGGATTAAAAAATGTTTTTTATTCCATAATATTTTTATATGTATATATTTTGACTTTCAGTTATTTGTGTTTTAAATTATTTTTTCGATGTATGATCTCAGAAAAGTTAAGTGAAATTTTAGAGTAAAAATTTACTGTTATTTTATTCATTTCCAAAATGTAATTAAATGCATGGTGAAGAATATATTGTGATAAACATTTAAAGCGAAATGGTATTCAATTGTATTTTCCTTTTGTGCACCTTTCAGTGACGGTGCTTTATAACTCACCTTAAATTCTACCTAAATTATGGCAAATGTAAATGCTTTCTGAATAAAGGTCGTGGGAACTACATGCAACCTCTATACATTCCTACATATTATTTCGTGTGCATATATGTATAGTTTTCTCTTCTGTTATGTATGTGCGTTTTTTAGAATACAATTTGGTATACTCTGAGACGTTTTTTATAACTGTAAAATGCAAAGTAAAATATATTTCTATGACTTGAGACACTGTTTGTATTTCTGTGCACCATGACCATGTTTTAATCAAAAACTGCTCTAAAAGCAAAAAAAAAGATTAATTTCTACAATGCAACCTATGTGTTTTTCACAATTTTTTATCTCAAATAAGAGTTGCAGTACAAATTTAAACTAAATTTTATCTATAAATTTACTTTTGAAACATTAAAAATAGCTGCATGTTTGGCAACCTTTGCTATTATAAAGAACCAATGGAATAAGATATATGTATTATACTCTTTATAGTTAAACATTTGTTAAGAAAGGTACACTAATTTATAAAGTTTACTAAATTTTAAATACTCTTCGTTAAAGATCACCCTTCCTTAGTTAATAACGATCACCCTTCCTTCGTTAAAAATCACCCTTCCTTAGATTTTTAATGAAAATAAAAAATATAAGTATGAACAATTTTGGTAGCAATATTTACAAAAACTTACATTGCAAATAATATAATAATCACTAACATGAATTTCAGCATATTTCTAAAAAATAATATGATACTGATCCTTTACTCGCTATTATTTAATTGTATATACTGAGAGAGTATAAACAACTGCAATTATCTGTATACTGGGTATAAACAACTTCCTGGGTATAAACAACTTATTTGTATATACTGGAGGGTATAAACAACTCTTAGACCATCTTGGATATTGAACTCTGTATACAGATGTCCGGATATGCAAGTCGAATATACGGTATACATGCACGTGAAGATACTAAATTGAGTATACGGAAGATTAATATATGTGTATACACAAACCTTCTATATACTTACGACTGGGGTCTCTCTATATACTTAAGGGGTATATTGGTCGTGAATATCCGAATACACAGGCCACGGAATAGGATATACGTATTTGATATACGGATACAGAAACTCTGTATACGCATATATAAATTGTGTATACCTTCTGTATACCTTGTATATACTTTTTCGCTAGGGGCGCAACTTTATTTGAAGGTCACGTGACAACTGTCTGCTAATTAAATACAAAATATCTGCTTAAAACATGTGTGTGCCCTGCTTTAACGAAAATTCGAGGGAAAATCATAACTTTTATAAAGCAGTGGATACACACGTGTGTGCCTTGTTTTAACGAAAATCACTACTTCTATAAAGCATACGTGTGTGTGTGTGTGTGCCCTGCTTTAACGAAAATCACAACTTCTATAAAGCAGGGCATACACACGTGTGTTTGTGCCCTGCTTTAACGAAAATCACAATTTCTATAAAGTAAGACATACACACGTGTGTGTGTGCCCTGCTTTAACGAAAATTACAACTTCTATAAAGCAGGGGATACATACGTGTGTTTGGCGCCCTGTTTTAACGAAAATCACAACTTCTATAAAGCAGGGCATACTCACGTGTGTTTGTGCCCTGCTTTAACGAAAATCATAACTTCTATAAACCAGGGCATACACACGGTGTGTTTGTGCCCTGCTTTAACGAAAATCACAACTTCTATAAAGCAGGACATACACACGTGTGTGTGTGTGTGCCCTGCTTTAACAAAAATCACAACTTCTATAAAGCAGGGCATACACACGTGTGTGTGTGCAGTGCTTTAACGAAAATCACAATTTATCAATTTTGGCCACGTACAGTATTTCACAACCATAAAATTTTAACCTAAATGGCACCGTTAATGAGTATGCGGACAACTTAATTTGTGAATATAGTAACAAATAAAGTTGCGCAGTATTTAAAAAACGTAAATTATCATTTTCCTACCTTACCGACATCAAAACTTTGAAATTAAATTTAAAAAAAAACGAGACCTGAGCGACGATTTTCCTTCTCAGAATGTTTTTTACACACAGAAATAAACAATTTTACAAAGTTGTAAGAAAATCGGAGGGGAGAGCGTTATACTAAACATTTACCTTTATTGCGAACATGCGTGCGATTTTGTCTCTCCGATAGATCTTAGGCTGGAGCAGGCTAGCGAGAGTACCGTGGCACGTATTTTCCGCGTGATGCGTAACGAGCTGGCCGCGCGCATTGTGAGTCCTCGAGGTGAGCCCGCGTAACAAGGCCGGCGGAAGAACTCCCAGGAGTGTAGCTACGGAGGATAATTCGTTCTCGCCAATT